AAATGAGATGGACTAATCTGTCCCGTATTGCTATGCGGAGTCACAAGAGGAAGGTATAGTGTTGTTTGTAAGTTTAGTCTCAAACTTATTTATATAAATGTAAGTCCAGTCAATTAGGTAATTATTAACATAGTATAGTTATGCCAAAGTGTTCCGACATTCAGGGTTCCCGCCAGTAAGATAAGAACAGAAACTTCTGGACCCAAGAAATGGGCGTGTCGAAGCGAATTGTCGAATTCAGGAGAGATCTACGAGAAAAACTCAGTTCTTCCTTAGGTTCCACATTGAGCAGTCGACTTAGTTTTAGAGTCTCGGGCTAATTGATTAAATTTAATAATGGATTAAGTTTTTCTCCAAATTTTGCTATGAATCTCGCATTCCCTGAATCTCGGTACGCTGTCGCGTGTCAATAAACTAATCAATAATGTTGTTCGAGCCGTTGCGTTGTTATTTTGTTTGTTTGTTTTGTTTACTGTTATTAAAACCCTTCCTGGAAGTTGTGGTGTTTCTTTTTGTTTCTCTCAACTTCAGTGTCACCCTGTATAGCCAGCCACTGGATTACAGTCTACGTAAGCAATAAAGGGTAAGTGCCTGAAATTCATTCTCTGAACGTACAAAATTTCTAAGTTCCCACGTATTAATTAAAGTATAATGATAATTATAAACTCCTTTTCGAGAATTGAATAGTAAACTCTTTTGAAATCCAGACTCGTTATGATACTGGTCATAACGATATATAGATAGATAAAGAAATAACCCTCAGGTTACAGTACTACAGGAATCCCTAAGTCAAACGTTCATCGGATTTTGCAAAAACATAAATGGCATCCGTACAAAATACATCTTGTGCATTGTTTGAACGAGGATGATCCGGATCGAAGAATAGAATTTTGTGATATCATGTCTAACAGAATTACAGAAATTCAAAATATACTTTACATCTGCTTCATTGATGAGTTACGTTTTTTCTCAATGGTACAGTGAATAGGCATAATATTCGTTATTGGTCGGGTGAAAATTCTCATTGTGTTAGGGAATCGCACACTCAGTATCTAGAAAAGCTGAACGGGTAGGAATATTGGGTAATCAGATAGTTGGTCTATTTTTTTTAGATGGCACTTTTACTGGAGCCGTTGAAAGGTCATATTGATCCCATGATCACAGAAATTCTGGAGAATGATGGTCAGCTGGATGAAAATCTTGTGACGTTCTAAGACGGAGCTCCACCCGACTTTGAGCGACGAGTTCGGGCTTATTTGAATTAGAATTTTCCAGGACGATGGATAGGTAGGCGTGGGGCTATATAATGGCCAGCTCCCGATTTGAGTCCAAACGACTTTTTTCTCTGGGGAAATCAGTGGTTTTTGCAAGTCAACCCGAAAATCTTGAAGATTTAAGACAACTTATTGTAAACGAATGTCGGAATTTAACTCCAGAGGTTTTTGCAAATGTAAGGAGATGTTTCGTAGACAGGCTCCATATTTGCCAAGAACAACTGGGTGCACAATTTGAGCATTTTTTTGTAAACAATTTTAAATGTAAAAATACAAAATTCCAAAAATGTAATTTCAATGTTTTTTTCTTGAAAACGAATAATGATTTTTCAATTTCCTTTTATGGAACGATGTATCACACGCCCTGTAGTGCCATTTGAAATTTCAAAGTTGATACCTCGATCTACGAAGGGGTGGCAACTACAAAATAAGTAATGATGTAAGTCGATGTCCCCCTCAAATTAAAAATCGACGTGTTTTTGAAATGTTTTCAAAACTTCATATTAAACGAAATGTTCAGGTGGAAAGTTTTATATGGGACACCCTGTATGTAGCGTATTTAGCGGGTGGATTCAGAATTTTCTTTTATTGTCTAAACTGTGTGGGCCGTTTAGGTATGTATTGTGATCTTGGAAATTATAAGAGAGAAAAAATTAATTGTTAAATCTTAGACTACTAACTCGCTCGCAGGTCGGTTCAGCTCCTCAGATATTTATAAAAAATAAAACAAAAACGTGACATTTTCGAAAATCTAATTTCAAATAAGTACTGTAAAAATGTATCATTTTTCTCCTTTTCATGGACACCAAAATAAATAAAAAAATAACTAAAAGTTACTACATTTAATGTAATCATTTTTTGTGGTAGCATATCAAATTCAAAATTATCCCTACTTATCCTTACTTATAATATAAATGTGAATATAAGTTTGTTTGTTACGCTTTCACGCGAAAACTACTTAACCGATCATCATGAAACTTTGCACACAAATTCTTGGAGGTATTAGAAGTAACATGGGATACTTTTTATTAAAAAAAAATATTTTTTACGAAAGATTTTCTATATTTATTATTTCAGGTTAGGTGTCATTTTTGTGGTTAATTCGTGATTTTAACCCTTACCCTTGATCTCTGATACTTATTTAATGGCTTCAATGCGAGCGAAGCCGCGGGTAAAAGCTAGTAAGTATTGTATAATTTCCATTGATTAGAAAACTAAAAGCTGCTACAATCGTTATGAAAACATTGATTCTGACAAGTGTAGCTTGTTTTGTAGAGCTTTAACAGTGAGTTATTAGCATATTCCAAATATTCAAATTTTCTAATGTTTCGAGTATCGATTTCATAAAATTATGTAAATCTATTCTCTCTATCATATCGTCAGATTATCAAAAGAACTTGTTGGCAGATAATCTGCATAATGAGTTGAACCGTTTTACGTAAAAACTTTGGCAAGCCTCTTTACAAATGAAAGAGCTTGTGGCTTCACGAACACCTTTTAACGAGGTAAATCGTATAATGAAGCCAACTCTAAATCATTAAATATGCGCGAGCGTTCTATTCGCAACATAATCCCTTACCTACTTGGTTGTTGAGTAGCAAATGCGATAATAGTGGTTTTTAGGTAGGCATACATAATTTAATTGGCTCATTACTATAAATTAACATATAAATACGTATACAATCTAAGTTCTGAAACATTTTCTATAAAGCACTCTACAGTGAATTAAATTATATTATACAAAGTGTCTGAATATTCTATGTTCATAGAACTATCACAGATTTCTGTGGTCAAAATAAGATAATTTAACTAAACTCACATATATCCACATACAACATCCACCTTTGAAGCTTCTATTTTTCTGTTCTTTTTTTAATAACTCTAAAAAATTTTTTTGAGCAGTTTTTGGGTATAAAGACTTAAAGAGTAAACAAATATTATTTATTACATATGTGATTATTTCTGTTGGTTATTTTATAATTTATTTTCAGTTAAGTAATGTGGATAATGACAAGTATTATTTGTCATTTTGGGATATAGAACGAAGTATTTAACAAAATAAAATTAAAAGTTAAATCATTTTTGTAGTTCTGTTAATTTTATTTTACTTTATATTTCACCTAATAACAATATAATTATATTGAGATTAGATAAATAATGTATCTTCGGTCTAAATTATCTAATGCAATGGCTGAAGAATATTTGAAAACTTCTGCTACAGAAATGTTTTCTTTTTATGTAATCCTATGAGTATTGAATTATCGACAGAAAGACTGGTAAATATTTCAAAAGCTCTCCAAACCACTGAAATAAGGCTTTTCTAGATTCCATTTAATATCTTTTATTGTTACTATTATACAGTTTGTATAAAGTCAATTGTACTTTTAATAAAACTAAATTTTATGCAAAAGTTTTACTCAGAAAAGCGAGTAATACCTACACACACAATTTAACTAAACTCACTTCCATTGAAATACATAATGATTTCATTTCTAATTACAAGTATTTTAAAAATAGTGTATATACCATACCGTGTTGTAAATAATGATATTTCCAGTGTTATGTGGTGTACAGAGTGTAGGTACAGTTTTGCACACTTTTGGGGTGTCTCCTTTTTCCCGAAAAGATAGAAACAAAGTAGTTTCGATATCACGTCCTCTATTCTCGAGAAATGTTGAGCAACGAAATCCGAATCAAGATATCTTTATTGACATTCCTCAATTTTGGACGTTAACTGTAACTTTCTTCTTTGTGAAAATATTATATTTTAGTAAAAAGTTTAATACAATTTTTTATGTAGAAAACGCGATGTTTTTCTACAACTTTCATCTTTCTCAATTATAACAAACTTTTCTAAACACGCTATATATTTTCCAATCTTAAAAATATACGTAAAATATCCTTTAGAATAATGTATTATAAATGATATTTACACAAAATATTCAAAAAATTTTACTTTGTAATTCTATTGAACCTTACATACAATTAACGTGTTGAACATTTTTTGATCTATGCAAATACGTCTGTGATACACTTAATTGTATCAGTTGAATTACAAATAAATCGCTTTTGGTGTTTGCACCTTGAAAAAAATGTTTGTGCAAATATCCCCTGAAAGAAAAATTGTCAGGTTTAATGTCCAAGTCATGAATAACAAACATCGCAAAATATTATAGGGTGTCCCATTAAAAAATATAAGTTTGCTTTATTCATCTACACAGAACATACTGTATGAAAAACCTATTTATATAAATTCAAATAAATTAAGTATAAAAAGGTAATTAAGAAAAATATAATTTAATTCAAGTGGATTGGTAGAGCCCACCCCAAATCGATCGTGAAGGATACGTCCTCACATAATAGTAGGTATCTGATATTAATTATACAGTCCGTACGATATTTTTATTGATAGAATTCCAAGAAAACCCCTGCGTCACTTTCTTGGAATTAACCACATTCGACACCCGAGGTAGGAAGGCATTGGCGGCGTGGCGTTCATCGTAGCAGCTTGCAGTGCATACTGTATTTTGCAGTTACGAAGTCGTGTTTCTTCGATTCTTTCCTTGGAATTGTATCTCAACAAATATTGTACGGACTGTATCTAATTTATGATGAATTTGTTTAATCCAAGGATATGGTGTGATTGATATGCTAAGACAAATATATCAAACAAATATACTTTTGATTCAAAGATTGCGATTTTTTTCTTCTTTATATGTAGCGTGTTCATAAGACACTATTAAATTGTATAATGGCAATTACATATGTAGTAATGGTGGCTACCATCGACAATAGGATTTTCCTGTTGATATCAAATAACCCCATCGAAACAAACTTAGGAGGAAAATGTTTTGCCTGTACAGCTACTTCTAGCAGTTCTTTTCGAATTGGCGACTTCATTGGAAATTTATCTTCTAGATCGTAGCACAATGTAATAATCTTTTTACCTTCATAACTTGTAAAGTCGCATGACAGTGCTATATACACGGTGTATATCTGAAATAGAAAGGATATATGATAGAAAATGTACTTCTTGATGTACCAAAATTTTAAAATAAGGCCTGGTATAAAGAGATAATTGTTAATAAATACCGCACGGTCTTTATAAATATGTCCATAAAAAAATCGTACTTAAGTCCTAAAATATATTACAAGGGAGATATGATCATTCAGAGATGGATATGAATGAATAAAGACTATTTTTTTTTTAATTGGAGGTTTCTTCAAATTTAATTATGGTCAGTTTGGTATTGTTTGTTCCTATTCTATAACATACACTTTTGTAAAAAACTCTCTTAAAACTCCGATTCGAGGCATCTTCTAAAAACGGTGGAAAAATTCTTTAGACTAAAATTTTACAGAAAACACCTACAAATAACTTGGTCGTTGATTACACAGCCACACATACAAAAAAATGTTTATAGTCTGAACCGAACCCGAATCCGTGATCCATTTAACCCCATCACGTCAGATTTTACGCATAACCCCATCTGGAATCTGCATTATGGAATTTCGTGATGGTAGCTTAAAAGCTACAGCACTTAGGCCCCATTGAGACCCTTGTACTTCCTCCCGTTAGGAGATCAATCCACCTTAGCCGCTAACCAACCTATTACAGAGAAAAAGGTGATTATGTTGCTCTGATATAGGCCATAGAAGTCCAACGTTCTCCCAACACGGATTTTCTTATTGGCGAGACGGCAGTACATTCGCATGTAGTACTGTTTCGTCTTCCTGTTCACAACCTCTACAAAGAGGTGTTCCACACTTCCTCATCTTGTGAAGGTGCTTCCTTAGCCAGCAGTGTCCAGTTTGAATACCTGTTACTAGGCATTTGATCTAGACATGGCCAGATAAGAACTCCTTAGCAAATTGACAGCTGTTTGTATTATCCCACAGTGTCATAAACTCTTTGTGGGTGTTACGGATAACCTCATATCACCTCATAACCCAAGCTGTCAAGTCCTATTACACACAACGGTCCTGTAAATGGAGCTGTGCGCCCACAATAACCCCATATTCCTATACATTCAACCTCGAATCTCCTAACCCCAAAACCATATATTCCCATAACCCCATAACCGATAACTCAAATAATCACATTACTCAGTAGTTTAACTTGCTCTCTTATCACGTATCTCTATAGACAACATATATTTAACCCTATAATCCCACGACCCCATAACTCCCATAACCACGTTACGCAGTGGTTCGATTGTTTGATCCAAGGAACAAAGTCTATATTGTTATTGACTCCCTATTTCATCATCTCCATTAGATTCTCCCTCAATTTAAAAAATATCATGCCAAATGAAGCTTTATTTTGCGGGACACTGACCAGTCGCCGATTCTGGGCAGCCTAAACCCTGTCTGGTACGTCTTTCATCTATGCCTGCTATGACTGCATGAAAACCATGATCCAAGAACAATGTTCCTTGGGTAACATCGTTATTGGAGGTATGGGGTTATGGGGTTATAGGGTTATGGAGTTAAGGGGTTGAGGGATTATAGAGTTAAATAGATTCTATCTTAGAGCCTTGATATATCTCTTGACGTGATGGGGTTAAATAGATTCAGATTCAGCGACCCCAAAAACATATAGTAGACATAGTATGACCTTCAGACTCATAAAACCTTTTTTTGTGGCTGTGTTATATAAATAAAAAAATAGATACATCTATTTGATGATTTTACAAGTTGATTTGAGTTTAAACCTCAACGACCTTTAATAGGAAACTACGTTTTTATCACTTTGTACACGGTTGCCTAACACTGACACTACAACTTTAAATGTTTGAAAGAAATAAGCCGTTTATTTCTTAAATTTAAGGTTATTCTTTCATATTTTTCCCTAAAGAAATAAATCAATTACACGACTTCATTTGCAGCGGTCTGGTGAATTTATACAATATTATCATTTTATGTAGAAACATGCAGCAGAATCAGAATTTGAAGAGTTGATTTTTAAGAAGTGGGTTTTAATTTGAATAAATTAATTCCCTTAATTAAAACTAAAAATTGACAGTAATTTTTATACCAAAGTTCATAGTCTATCTAAAGCACATGAAGTTAATAATGTTTTATTTAATTTTCATTTTGAGCAAGTACTCTAATAAATTGTGTCCTCATAAGGCAGGGAAATGAGGCAAATAAGATAAAATCGGGCAAAATAAGGTAAGGTAAGAAAAGGTAAGAAGTAAGGTAGGTTTAGTTCTAGTGAAATTGACAATAAAATCGCAGCATAAGTGTCAAACGGATGAAAACATAGTGCAAAATAGTGTAAAAATTATTATAGGAAATATGTATCGCATGGTCCTTTGATAATCGACAATTTCTCACTATCCCTTGTTATATTATTTAGGTAATCAAAATTTAATTATATTACTTACAATAATTGCAAACAATTCCAAAGTATCAGTAAATATCAGTTGCATGTATTCACCAACTACCAAACAATTCAAAATAGTCAACGCATCCAACATGGTGTATGCCATCAAGCAAAAAGTTGGCCAGCCAAGTAAATCGTTCGTACGTTCTACCAAATCATTTATATATCTGTATAAGAATTTAATTTTCTTTATTTCTTTTAGGGTCATCAAATCCACATCTTTGCTCATAAACTTATTTTCTACGGATATATTAAGCACCTGTACAAACTTCTGATTTAAAACCTCGTATTTTTCTTTCAGGTTCAGTACAATTTCATTTATAAGTATGACCATGTAAAGCCAAAATACTTCTTCTAAAGTTATGTATAGGATGAACCATATTTTGTAAATGATATTGCCGTGTGATTCCAAGATCTCTTTGTCAGAGTATAAGTAGTAAAAAAGTACCATATGCAGCAAAAAATTTATAATATGCTTCACATAATATCTACGAGAATTATCCGTTTTTGAGGGTAATAAACTATTAATATGTATAATTTTTTTAAGAAATGTCTTCCATTTCTTGTTACTAGATATTAATAAAAACAAAACTGTAGAAAATGGCATCAGCCAGTAACTGAGATTTGTCGGATGTTCCAAAATTTTCATAGTTATCAAACTGTACTCACTTTCAAATTCAGGCAAACTCAGAATGAAATATCCTATTATCAGAACGAACTTATATGCCAGCAAAATCATTAGCCAAATTTTATTCAGATTTTGTTTCACCAACTTACAATTTTTAAAACTATAAAACGGAACTACCCCTAGAACACTGCACATCAAGTACAAATTGCAGAAATATTTTGGTACCATTCTTATTAAGCTGATTGACAACTTCATACAGGATAAAATGTTACCTACTTTACTTATCGACTATTATAAGTGATATTGGTTTTAAATTATGTCTAAATTATAAAAGTTTTGGAAAATTTGGAGCAAACGGGAAATATAAACTTTACCATTATCTACTGTGTTTTAAAAATCAACTATTTGAAGCGAAACAACAAATTGTGTAGAATAAAACTTCTTCCATTCTCTAAAGGGGTTGACCTAATAAAATTTATTTATTCCTAATGTATATTTTCTCTTTGTTTTGTTCAATTAATAAAAATTGGTCTGTTACAATAATTGAAAGCAGTGCTGTTTGTCACATTTTTTTTTTCATTTACCTAATTCAAGAAAAAAAATTAGATTTCGTAAGCATATAGATTATACAACTAAACCGACAAACGAAGACAGCAAATTTTAGGGATTATTTCATATCGATTTGAGATAAATCGTCTTATCAGAAAATTCTACCTAAAGAAGGAGGTCTTTGAAGATGGTCCTTTCACATTATTTTTTTTAATTGTTCACACCACTATTTATATAGTAGCTTTAAACTTAGGTTATGTGTTAACTCTTATACGGACAGTCTTTTAATGTAAAAATGATCTTTTAATTGTAACCATAAGCGTCACATTTAGAAGGGTCAGCTGATATTTTTAATTATATTTTTTTCAACTTCGACTTTTTGTTATTTTTAATATACTCAAAGTATTCTGGATTACAGAGGTGCTCTTGTTTTGAGTGGCTAGGGCGTACCGTATGCAAGAAAAAAGTTTTAAATGTTTATGGTTTTTTTGCACGATAATTACAAAATTACAAATTCTTTGCTAACATTTAGTAGTTGGCTTTGGAAAACAGATAACATAACAACGGGTAACTACGCTTTGAATGCCAGATTTACAAATTAATTTTCAATCAAACTCTTTTTGTTTTAGTTTTCAATAATTTTAATTGTCATTTTTTGTTAAATACAAAAAACTCGGGTTGTTTAAACGGTTGTTTAAAAATGTTTACTGCAGTAGAATATGTCGATATGCGTATGGCGAAATGTAATGTAACTTTCGAGCAGTGGCACGTCGATATGCCGAAAAATTTCCTCTTCATACCACTTTTACTGTCCTACACCAAAGATTAAGAGAAACCGAATCAGTGATTTCACGGAAGACATTTTGCACAAGGAAAGCCGATTTTCCCGCTCTTGTTGAATATTCTAACTGGTTGCAAAACCCTAAGTCTTTTTCTAATACTTTATTCTGCGATGAAGATACTTTCACGAGGGATGGAATTTATAATATGCATAATGCCCATCGGAGTCCTATGTTGGTGACATCCCCCATGCCATAAAAGAGATGAAGCATCAGGGTATATTTAGCAGAAATGATTGGATAGGATTTCGTGGAAATAATCTACTAGGACCTGTGCAAGCATTTGTTCTCGTTAATCGTTATTTTATTATAATCTTTGCCAGTTTTGATATTATTTAATAGAAAATTGTAACTTTTTTTATAGAATTTTACTTTACGTATTTTCCAAAGCCAACTACTAATTATTAGCAAATAATTTGTAGCTTTGTAATTGTGCAAAACAAAGCATACACATTTCAAATAGATTTTTCTCACGTACGGAACACCCTGGCCACTAAAGACAAGAGTACTTTTTTAATCTAGAATACTCTGAAGTTTTCGATTTTGATATTAAAAATACCAAAAGTCGAAAAATTAAATAATTTAAAAAATCAGCTGACCCTTCTAAATGTGACGAGTTAACACATACCCTAAGGTTGATCGTGTATAAACAGCGACCTGAACAATTAAAAAAAAATATGTCAAAGGGTCATCTTCAAAAAACCCTCCCTTAGGAAGCATTTTTGAGTAAAACGATTTATGTCAAATCGATGTGAAATCATCCCCAGAATCTTCGTTTGTCGGTTTAGTTTTATAATCTGTATGCTTATCAAATCTACTTTTTTTTTCTTGAATTAGGCTAATGAAAAAAAAAAAAAATTGTTACAAACGGCACTGCAAACAAGACAAATGTTTATTTATTAAACAAAGTTAAGAGATAATGTACATTAGGAGTAAATAAATAATCTTTACAAAATAAGTAATAAAGTATTGTAAATTGAAATATTATTAAATTTATTATCAAGATTTATTTTAAGAATAAAAAGCTTATCAGAGAGTTAATGCAAATAAAATAGTAATCATAACCCCCGATTGAACGATGTTAAGCAAGCATATTCAATTAGTTTTTCCCGTTCTTCCCTAAATATTTTTGTGCGGATTGTAACCAACTTAGGGGAGTTTTCAATTATTTTATAAAGTCATTCTTAATAAACTATTAATAATTATTAATATTAAATTATCTTCTAATTTTACTAATTACAACATTGAAAATAATTTCGTTTGCTGCTTATTGAAAAATATACTTATTGAACTATTTATACATCTATTTGTCCACCTTAGTGTTGTTCTTAGTTTATCAGTCTGAATAACTAAAAAAAAAACTTTATTTTATTCAAAGACGAGTCAATTTCCACTTACTTCTTTTTTAAATTTAAAATTAGCTTACTACACAGTTGAATAAATCGAAAATATCTCAAAAATACTATTATTCGAGGAATTATTCTGATTTTTCTATCAGAACTGACACATTATTTACGATACCGAACTCCACTATACTGAATTTTTGTTTTTACTTTGCCTATTTAATTTTATATACTACAATTCCTCTTGCATGCTTTTTATAATTTTTAATATCTACTTAATTGATTTCATTACAAAAAAATATAAGAAATCTTGTATCAGGCCGTTCATGTGTCATTTGAGAACTTCGTAATTAAGTTTTCACGTGAATTAATAACATGGGAAACTCATTGTAAGGGGATCTAATGCTCATTAAGTTGGTTGATTATTACAAGGTATATCCCATATTACAATTTGTGTTATCGCGTTTCAGGTTAGATCCTGGCCAAGATAATTTATTATCTTATTAAATAGCTGTCTCAAGTATTGTGATTTGGATTAATACAGTTTATTTGATGTAAATATTCTTGAAATACTTATGGATTGTCGGATTTTTTATATTGAAATTTATATGACATTTAAAAGGTCCATTGTTAAATTATGTGATTATGTATGTGTTTGTTGTGTTACTACAAACAAATTGTTTGCGTAGGCCTTATATTTTTTGCAAGATTGTATTTCATAGTACATATTGTACAGTTGCTAGTTAAAAAACAGGAATGAAAGGTAGTATTAATTTTTAAATTAAAACATTTATTTTATTTATGTTCATAAATATAATAATTTAAATATTCATATTACGAGTATTAAATTGTACAAATTATATGTAAATTACGTAAAGCATTAAATTATCCATCACATAAAATAGTACCTTGTATTACATTTTACCTGTCAGAGAATAGAAAATTTCCAGGATAATGGATTGAAAAAGGAGTTGTCTGGTACAGCCAGATGTTCACCGATCCACTCTCCCAATTCTTATTTGATACTTAAGAAGAAATGTACAAAATTGAACCTAAAGGCATCCGATCTGAGGTATCGAATAGCAGCAATCATCTAAATCATTCCTGATATTCGGTAATTGCCTTGAAGCTCTTTCATACACTTATAAAAAAATCAAGATTGTTACAAAAACAATATTAATTTACATACAATAAATTACCATATTAACATTTTACGAGTATTAACAATAATTTAAATAGTTTTAGTGCAAAATCTGACAGTTTTTTTTTAATGTACAGGGTGTATCAGAATCCATCAAAACGAACAGAAAGGCAGAGGTCACATTATTTCCTAAAACGATTCATAACAATTCTATTATTCAGTTGCTAGCTGCCTGTACGTAGAATTTGAATAAAAATGAGCTAATGGCGTCAGAATTAAGAATGGTTAAAGTCTTGTCAAAGAAGTTGCAGTGTTCTAAGAATCTAATAAACAATAGGAAATGTATTAAGAAGCCAATTATATTTGAAATTAGTCACCATTCTCTTTTTAGTAAGTAATTGAAACAGCTTGCGCTAGAATTGCAAAACGAATGTTTTTTTTTGCAATTGCACCTCATAACTAACCTATTCTATTTTATTTTTAAGCGGCTCTGTTTTCTGCATCTTTTGTGAACCACAGGTTAAACCCATTTAACTATTTTTGATATATTTACAACTTTAATTTGAAACGCTTTTAATCTAAATGTTTTATTTATATGTAATCGCATATTTTTATAATGAGATGGCCACAATGGTAAATACAACAGTCGAAACCCAATTGAATGATTCCAGCTAGTTATTACGAGTATAATTCAATTCAGATTATAGTACCTACGAAATAGCAAGTACTCTCTTAGTTAGGCCGTATAGTATCATTGAGTAGCAGCAATCATTCATAAATGTGGCACATTTCTATATATATCTCATTTAATAATATCATTGCGACACAAAATAAAAAAAATGGGTTGAGCGCAGAGCAAACCAGCGTATCCCATAGAAATTTTACCCGCTGAATCCGAATTTAAAGTCAGTTCGTGTTTTGACCGTAATATCGAGACACTCCTCTAGAAAG